GGAAATTTCCGAAGTTCTAAGGTGAAACTGTGACCAGTGGAGTTTAACTGTGTTGGGTATGAGGAAATTACTCATTGAAAGCAATGGAAAGTGTTTGAAGAATATCGTGAATAAATTGTAGTACACCAATGGATCCTAGCTCAATGGCCCAGAGATTATGCTTTTGTGCATAGAGGACTAGAGGACTTGGGTTTGATTTCCGGTAGTGTGGTGGTAGATATGCACTGCTGATGAGTCCCATACTAGAACGAAAAGAACTCCAGTGCTTTTAGTTTTTCATTGATGTCCAACTTATATCAATTTATGATTGCCAATCTCATCCGTACTGAAAAGTGATAAACGAGATCATGAGTTAATATAATAATTATGTTCTTCGTTACACAGAAATGATGCACAGAAATGATGAACCCTAATAACTTGACAAATAATTAGGAGTAGAAAAACTGGTTACTGACTTAATTCTCAATCAGATATAATGTAATTGCAAGAACTGTTTAAGCAAAAGAATAGACACAGATATTATATAATTTATAAGTATCTATGTCGAATAACATCTGGAACTCAAAGCAACTGTCAACCAACACCAAGGTCAGGATTTTCAATACAACTGTCAAGACAGTTCTACTGTATGGGGCAGAAACCTGGAGAACTACGAAAGCCATCATCCAGAAGATACAGGTGTTTATTAACAGTTGTCTACGCAAAATACTTCAGATCCGTTGGTCGGACTCTATCTGCAACAACGTACTGTGGGAGAGAACAAACCAGATCCCAGCGGATGAAGAAATCAGGAAGAAGCGCTGGAATTGGACAGGACACACATCGAGGAAAGCACCAAACTGCGTCACAGGACAAGCACTCACATGGAATCCTCAAGGCCAAAGGAAAAGGGGAAGACCAAAGAACACATTACGCCGAGAAGTTGGATATAGACATGAGAAAAATGAACAAGAATTGGATGGATTTAGAAAAGAAGGCCCAGGACAGAGTGGGTTGGAGAATGCTGGTCGGTGGCCTATACTCCATTGGAAGCAACAGGAGTAAGTAAGTAAGTATGTCGAATAACATTTATTAAAGCTCACTAACTAACCAACAAGTTTCAGTAATGAACATTCTTATCTGTTAACTATTGTGATACACTTATTACATTCGGATTGATTAATTATCATTTCCGTATGAATCATTTTATGATTAACATTTATTCATTATACATGAATATATTTAATCGTTGACTCAGTTATTAGATTATTTACATAATTCTTATTTTCCAAAGTAAAAGATATTCCAAATAGTGGGTTTTATACTACCACTACTACTACTACTACCAATAGTATTACTACTACTATTACTGATACTACTGCTACTATTACTACTGTCATTATTATTATTATTATTATTATTATTATTATTATTATTATTATTATTATTATTATTATTATTATTATTAGTGTTTCATGTCATGATACATTTGAAGTAAATAATTTGACAAGGAAATGTTTATTGGTTTATAGTTTTTTTTGTTTCAAAGGTATGATGATGATACCAGACAAACAAATATATACAATAAATTCTCTATATTATTATCTACGTTAATATTATCTATATTTATCTATATATTTGAAGTAAATCATTTTCATTGGAGTTTTGATGTGTATATCATTAGTTTGGAAAAACCAAGTGATAAGATTTCTTGTACGAAGTTTAATTCTAGCTTGCTGTCTTAGGTCACTCAATCAAGACGGACTCTACATTCAACGTCATCTACAAGATAAGTAGAAGTCTTCCAAAGGAAGTTATATTGCATCTTCTTAACATTGCCGAAGTGATAGCCATACATCTGGAAAAACAATAATCGTGTGTCCAAAAGAGATTGGTACAACTTCTCCTTCTACCATGGTCTTGATGTTTCAAAATGTCTTTCTTCATACTCTTCTTTCTTTACAGCCGTCTGTTCCCCCTTCCATCTTCTCCCTGAACTTTCTACCCCATAACTGGTTTATTTCTGTTTCTATAATCCTCCTGATCACATTTCATTTCAATTTCGACATTTTATCTCATCATGCTGTGCCATCTTTTGCCAATGATAATTTCCCTATCTATCTTTATGATGAATATTTAAGCCTTTAACAATCAAACGATTATTAGTTTCCCTGGTTAAAAGTATTTTTAATACCTTTGTTTATTCTACGTCACTGTTACCATATCTAACAGAAGTCTGTTATCGTGATTATTGTAATTATCATTCTGAGAAATAAGTATATATGTTTGCGATTGTACAGCTTTGAGAATAAATTCGCTGAAAAGAGAACTCTTAGCCGAACCAATCTTTCTTATTTAATTGATAATGACATATTATGGAATGTATTTTGTGCATTTTCTTGAAAGAAATGTTTTCTAACTGAACACATCTTTTTCAATTGTTGTCAAACGCTGAGCTATTTAATTAAATTTCAGATGGCTTATGTTCTACCGAGAAGCAGCTAAATCAGTCTGTAATCATATTTTGCTTATGTCTAGCGAGGTAAAGAAAAGGCTAATAGTAGGATTCCCGTACATATATACATGGAGAAGAGAATGCATCATCGAGCGATATTTAAGCTATTAACATTTTCGCTAGAGTCTGTTATGTGATCAACCATACACGTTTATACAAATATGATAGTGATCATGATAGTACAAAGAAATATGAAAATTGTTACTATTCTTATAGCATTGTCTCTTAAGTTAATAAAAGGACTTAACCAAAATTAACTATAATCGAAACAGGTTGTAGGATAGTTGCTATAGCAATGTCATCCCAATTTGTTTGATGAGTATCTATAACCTTTAAAGTTTAAATTTATGAAATTTAAAAAGAAAATTGATTAACTAGGTTCGTTATTACTTGCAGAATGCAGTTAATGAGCTATATCAAGAAGCTCTAAATAACTAACCATTGAATATTACGAGAATAAAACAATGAAGCCTTTAGTGACTATCGTTAGGACGTAATAAATAATTTATTACTGTCAATTAATGCAATTAAATCTATTGATATTGTAAATTGTATACATGTATTTAGTTATTGATCAGATTAGTAAATCATATAGAAATGAAGTGTAATTTTGAATTAGTGCTCATTACTGTTTGGAATTGATTTTGTGATGTCGGTAAATTCTTATCTTCAGTCCTACTTACTTCCTTACATTGAGCCGTATCAGTACTTTTTCAATTATATGGAATTAATTAATTAGTTGTGTCCATATTTGTTATAAGTAACAGTTTAATGCTAGTACTAAGCAATTAACTATATAGGTATTTTGTTTAATTACAAAAGTGGTCGAAGAAGTATAGGATGAATATCACAATTTCGGACAAATAGTTATGCAATTTTTTGTACATAAATGTGAACAAGGATAGATGTAGGACCTGTTGGGATATTATAAAAAGTCTCCCTAACATTCAAGCGTTTTAAGCTTATGAAACCAATTGTTAGTAGTGATATTACAACGGTTATTACTGGTATACCGTAATGTTTATTCAAAACTACTGAAATACTCTGGTACCTTAATTTGTTTCTACATCAGTAACTAAAAATAAGGGCTACCTGTCGTAATTAAAATTTTTAAGGCATCAATCACTGTTTTACAATTACAACTACATAGTACATACAAATAAATTTACTTTACACAGTTTCGTATTTAGAATTCTGTTTTATTGCTACTCATTAGATTTATGTAGCTGGAATTTTTTTTCACAATATATAGTTAGTGATACAGCTTTGTTGTCTCTAAAAAAAGTAATTGAAATGTATATTCTTCCAACTTCTTATCATATGATAATACACATTAGACGAAATAAACTCAGAAAGATAACATGTTAACTTAGAATAGATTTCATTATGGACCGATAATCAGTTGGGTTAGGGTTGGGTTAGGTATCAGAGACCCGTTGTACTAAAGGTTAATCAAGGGCATCTAAAACCTCTAGTATCTTATGACTAGGGTTGATCAACAGAAAACCTTAGACGTAGGTTACATTATAATGAATACTCGTCAGCAAGACACCTGGAATTTTTGGAAAATCATTCCTCTCCGTAGGGTTTGTAACCTAGTTTTACAGTCTGCAAGCTGTCAGTGAGTGAATTGAATTTCAACTGAACTCCTACAAACGATCAACATTAAACTAGATTGAACATTCAACTTTCATATCTTCCTGTGAGTATAATATGACTTTAAAATCATTGAGTTGAATTTCAATTCTTTAAGTAAATAGCTTTACTAATCACTATGTTATTTATAATAATAATTGAAATATACTTGGTATTGTTTTACTTGAATGTTTCCATTGATGTTTTAGGACTGAAATTGATCAGTCTCTTATTGGCATATGTACATACTGTGCGTATGCCTCAATATTGCCTTAATTTACAAGCATTATAATCAAAGATAGATAGTGGCTAGCAGTGGAGTGAACATCAACTCTGAGATGCAGGTACATACATCTGACGAGTCCCAAACAGGACGAAACGTGCATCCTGGATTCCACTGCTAGCCACTATCCATCTTTGCATATAATAAGTGAAATACTTGACTTATCCAGAAATTCATTTTACTATTCATCATTGAATCATCAGTTTGTTTGTAAATAAATATTTATTTACCATACGAAAAAAAATGAATAAATTTTTATCAATGTTCATTATAAATTCGGACATTAAAATTCACCATTATAATTGGTTTACTGAATACCGTAAACAGAATAAAATAAATATGTGCATGCTTGTGTATGTACTTCTATATATGTGTGCATATACACATAATTATGTGTACTATATCTATATTGTAGGTAGATGAATAGTAAGTGAATTCAATGGTTGTCCATGCTGAGATGTATGATCTTTTGAAACTGTATCAATGTGCCTTTATATATATATATATATATATATATATATATATATATATATATATATATATATATATATATATATATATATATATCTGTAATTCACCTAAACAAATAAACAACTTACAATCGAACTACATTCGTAATTGGCTATCTGTACCGTCGATGGTTTACTAGATTCAATAATATTATTTGTATTATTATTATTATTACTATCACTATTCATAATTATTCGTGTTTATCATATGACAATTAGAATCAAATCATCTCAGTTACAAAAATATTTTCCAATGTTTTTCAATGATTAAAATGTACTAAAATGTTTCCCAAATTAACCAATATCTTTAATAAATATTAATCCAATATAAATGGACTAATTTCTTTCTTTATATATTTTCAATGAAATTTCACTATTTCGAGATAAAACATACTTCATTTAATACAAATAGTAAAAAGTAAAATTGTTTATGACATATTTGTATGACTATTAGAATGTAATCAAAATGTTCAATGGGGAAAAACAAAAATAAACTAAAAAAAAAGTTTTTTTAAAAATTATGTTTTAATGTATAAAAAATGTCAGATTTCAAATTTCCAAGTTATTTTCTTCTATTTGTATTATATTTTATTATTCAAGCCTATTGTATAGAATCTAGTTCCCAAGTGAGTTCTAAGATGAGTTATTCATGATATGTTAATCAATGTTTTAAGATTATACTGTGCTACTTGATTGATTGATTGATTGGTTGTTTGATCGATTGATTGATTGATTGATTGGTAATAAAACCCAATTCATTTCATTTTTAATTAGAAACTTACAAGATGAATAGTTGTTATAATTTAATTTCAAGATTATTATTAATTACAGTAGTAATAGGGAGATTTTCCATAAAATCAATGTTTATAAATAAAGATTTAAACAAGATAACATGTATTTCATTTGAATTCTAAGTAATCAATTGCATTTTTTGTAATACTTCAAAATTTCAAGGGTCAATTTTAACATGTAAAATGTAAATTTGGTTGAAAATCATCACAAAAATATATCAACATAGTGTAGTAAACATTCAATTAAAATTAAAATGGTTTAATCAAATGTTGTACGTATGTGAAGGGTGCGAAAATTGAATCTAGAACATTGAGTATAGTAGATGCAGAAAGTATTGAAAACGAAATTAAGTGATTATGCAATGATGGGTTAGAATATAAGTTCGTTCAGAAATGGGTTTCATCACTAATTGAAGTCTATAGCAGAAAACCGACAAGTATAAGGGAGAAATGAACAATATGCACACTTAATAGGGTGGTTCAACAAGTTCATAAGGGTAGATTGAAATTAGACACCATTAGTCTACAGGTTAAGCGTTTGTGCTAAGGGTTCTGTGTTTGATCCTCGTTAGCGCGGTTGTGGACTTTGATCGATGAGGAATCCCTTATTAGAACGAAACAGTTCTTGAATGTTTTCATGTTTTTATCAGTTGTCTAACTAAGATTGGTATGTGGTTTCACTAAATTTTTCAGGAGCGTTTATCCATAGCTTCACACGCGACTAAAACGTGAAACATGCTGTTCCGGTAGTGACAATATTGCATTTCAACTAATGGTTGGAATTACGATATTCCTTTTTAGATCTCAGTCGATTAGTAGGTTGGTTGAAGCTTTAGCCATGCTGAGAATCAAGCTCTGCTTGCTTATCTAACAACAGCTTATATTTTCATGAAATCAATTTTGATAATGTTGATTTAAATTTATTATCCAAGATCATGTAATGCCTGTTTTCGAATTGTCCTTGTTTTTCCTGTCTTATGTTTTTACTTTGATCTTTCGTTTCTTGAATAAACATTTTGACAACTTAATGTGTTATCAGAATGCTTCACGAGTATGACACAATTTTGTTAAATTATCATTTCATTTCATTATCTAAATCTATCCTGAATCAGTTTTATTTATTATGAAATTTCTTACAAAATATTGTTGCTAAGTGATAAACTGATGAACATCTTATATGATTCAGTTTTTCACTATTCATAAGTCAAAAGCATGACTGTGTTAACTAAGTTTATTAAATTCTAATATTTGAATAACAAATAATATTGTACTGCTGAATAAAATCTGATGTCAGATAAATTATCTGACATTTTAAGTCAATAGTATGAATAGTGATATCATAACACACTAATTTTATGAGCATTATTTGGTGTGGTTACTTCTGCTGGTTCAAATCATATTGTTTATAGTTTTTAATATTTAATTATCATATGATATGATACTTTGATCCTCATTGGTTGATCGCCGAATAGTAATCAGTGTTAGTTCCTTTAGGTGATAATAACTTAGGTTCAGGGTTTCTAGCTAATCGACTGTAAACACTTAATGTAAAAATATACTGCAAATTTTGATGATTTAATTTGATTGGTGATAAATACAATTCCATATTCATTATGAACAAAACATCCGTTACTGCTCAACAACTAATCACTATAAGTGTATGTATTGTTACTCAAGGAGGTCAATCATGATCCTAATTTGTTAGTGATCACGTTTTTGACAGTGGTGTTGAGTGATGCAGATTTGAATTCCTTTGAAATTTTTACATATTCTCTGTTGATCACTGTCAAATAGATCGAAAGCCTCATGTCAATTGCTTCTAAACACCAAATATCAAAAGTTAGAATTTATTTGATATATGTGAATCTTCTTTTCTAATTTAGCCTCAGCAGTTTTTAAACATCATTTATAAGCCTGACATTTAAGATAGTAACAAACTATATGAATCGTAGATAATATAAAAATTTGGCAATCCACTGATATCATCAAATACACTTATACTATGATGATTTTAGTTCATCACATCTATCCTGCTTAACATCTCCTAATTCGAATTGGCTGAATAACCTTTTTCGTAAAGTCCATAGATAAGTATCTTTTACTATTAATATAGTACTTTTTATAAAACTAGTATTCACCGTTAATCACATTAATACTGTTTCATTTCATTAAATAATCCCAGTGTTAAGTATAAGCACTGAATGGAATTGTGTAATATTAAGACTAAACTATGTAGCTTTGAAATCTTTATTGTACAAAACTGTATCACAATTGATTGATCACCACCCAGTGATCAATCAATTGTGATTACATCTCAGTCCTACAGGAGGTTAGTCACGGCTCGAAAAGCTCAGTGGTAACGTCTCTGACTGTGAAGCTGGGTGACACGAGATCGAATCCGTCAGGGAGCACCAGTTCCCTCAAGATTACAGGTACACCTTGCTGATGAGTGCCATGTAGCACGAAACCCGGGTTCAGGGTTTCCTGTTGACTACCTCCAACCATCATCTAAATCTCAACAAAATTGTATCTTTATACCACTACAATTTGAACAGTGTCCAAATCAGACATGAGTATAGGTTGCGTATATGAATCATTATTATTATTATTATCATCAGCTTTATTCAATATTATATTTTTGGTACAATATAGAATTCTCAGCGTAAAGTATTTCAACAAGTTTCTGTTTCTTTCTTCTTGATCGGTCCTGGCGATAAATATTGAGTGATCGCCTGTTACATGTTAGCAGTTCAGTAAATGAACACCCAAATAATGTACATACTTTTCGTTGTATATTGCCAGCAACCACATTGTCTCTTATTGAGTTTTTTGTAACTTTGACAACGAAAGGTTGTACACTTTTCAGAAACGCAGCAGAATAGTTTATGAGATTAATAAACATAATGATATATTAAAACAAACAAAAATAGATAACTTGGTGAAATATCTAGATGGCAGGAACAGGTAGCCCAGACGCTCAAGCAGGCCGCTCTTTATCATGAATATCGACTGTAAACGCTTGATTGAAAAGCAAATACTTTCGTATTAATATCAATAATATCATGCAGTACAATTCATCAATTATCTACATTATTCATTCAAAAATTATATATTAGATGAAGTATAAATTACATTTATAAAACTACAGAAACAAAGTTAAAATTATTCAAGTTTTTTAATATGACACTATTCTGATTTGCTTCGTTAATTATTATAGTGCGTTTGATCCCATATGCAATTGTCGGTATCGATTACTGTGAAAAGTCACCAAATAAGACTAACTATCACCTCAATTTTATTTTGTTTTCAAGTGGGACAATCTTCACAAACCCTCTGTTTCAACAAATGCGTAACATTTTCCATAAACTAGTTCCCTAATATATTTGAACCTATTCGATTTGATTGCATTTAAAATTCACATAATTCATTTTGCATACTTTAAAATTTTCCATACATTTGAGTACGATAGGTTTCTAGTTGTATTCATTCCAACCTGTTTGGTCAATAAGATTAGATTTTAAAAACAAATCACTCAATGATAATCCATGATAGACGTGCCAGGCAGTTTAGGGCAGTCTCTAGAGAACTCTGAAATTAAGTGTTGTACTGGTTGGCATTCATCAGGAGTGTATATCTTTGATTTTGACGGAAATGATGCACGTCGTGGGATTCAAATCCGCAGTCGAATTAGGAGTGGTTAAATAGGATAGATGTGATAAACTAAAAATCATCATAGTTAAAGTATATCTGATGATATCACTGAATCATCACATTTTTAGGAGTCGTTATAATCGTTATAAGCAAAGATGGATAGTAACTAGCAATGGGATCCAGGACGCGCGTTTCGTCCTGTTTTGGGTTCGTCAGGTGGATGTACCTGCACCTGAGTTGATGTCTACTCTGAGACTCGAACCCAATACTGTCCCCCTCGAACACCATCGCGTTACCCACTTAACTACTGAGCCGTGATAGCCACCTGCTTGTGCAATGGGGAGAAGTTTTAAATTCACTTGGTATTGTTTACTTGTATCTTCCCATTGATATTTAGGACTGCAATTAATCAATCTCTTGTTGGGAAGATAAAAGTAAACAACACGAAGTGAATTTATTTGAATCGTAGATAATATTTGATTGTTACCATCTCAAATGTCAGGCTTATAAATGATGTTTAAAAACTACAGAGGCTAAATTAGAAAAGAAGATTCACATATATATCAAATAAATTCTAACGTTTGATATTTAGTGTTTAGAAGCAATTGACATGAGGCCCTCGATCTCATGTACGTTCTAGTTGACAGTAATCAACAGAGAACATGTAAAAATTTGAAAGGAATTCAAATCTGCATCACTCAACACCACTGTCAAAAACGTGATCACTAACAAATTAGGATCATGATTGACCTCCTTGAGTAACAATACATGCACTTATAGTGATTAGTTATTAAGCAGTAAAGGATGTTTAGTTCAGAACGAATATGTAATCGTATTGATTACTAGTCAAATTAAATTATCAAAATTTGCACTAGATTTTTGCATTAATTGTTTATAGTCAGTTAACTGGAAACCCTAGACCTCGTATTTATGTTAATTGGCACCTGTCAACATTTAGTATCTACAATCATATTGAAACTGACACTTTACTTTGTAGTAAGCAGAATTGATGAGCGATAAATACTAGGCAGTTATGACATTGATTACTATTCAGCGGTTAATCAATATAGTTCATAGTTTATTTTTTTAAAAATATTTTAATTTCTAGTCATGAATTTATCTTTATGGGACGGTATTCATTTGAACCAAACATTTAACACCATAATTAATGAATCTGTATAGTT